ACTTCTCCTGTTCCCAGGAACTTAACTCTTGGGCAGTTGCAGAGGGCTGAACCTGAAGGTTCCTCAAGTCTTCCATATGAATTCACATTAGATCCTTCACCTCTGCATGGACAGTGGATATTTGTTAAACCTCTTATTAGAAAGCAAAGTTCTCCTTCCCCGATACATTAAACACATCACACACACACACACACACACACACACACACACACACGCCCTCCGAGGTTTGAGTATCTCCTCCATCAAACAATCCTTTCTCCAAGAGCTCGCTCAACAATTTGTCCTGTGTATCTGTCCAGATGTATTTATGAGACAACTTCCAAAAAATACTACATATTAGTGAAGAGCAGGGTCTCTAAAGCTAGACATTACCAGGTTCAAATCCCAACCCCACCCACCGTGTAAACTTGGGCAACTTAGCTTCTCTGAACCTTCGTTTCCTCAGAATCTTAAAAGTTTTTAATAGTAGGTACCAACAAAGGGTCATGCGTGGGGTCTGGAATACGTGATATTCTTGGTGACTCTAAGCCATGGTATTAGTAGCAAGGTGAACGTTGCTGGTACGACTATTACTATCACTTCAGCTAAGCCCTCTGGGGTAGAAATGACCTAAATTGAGAGTCGGGGACGCAGCCCTTCTGGGGTAGCTGCTTGATGGATGGATATTGAAATTAACCATGGCTCACGGGGGCCTTTTGTGAAGTTGAACCCAAGTTCCAGATGTTTTCATTTTATTTGGAGAGTCTGTGAAAGAAAGAGGAGGGGGCTGAGGCTGAGTTCAAAGGCCAGAGGGCATGGACGAGCTGTAGGTCCTGGGCTGGAGAGACAGAGGCCGACTCTGCTAAGGCTCTGGCCTCCCAGGCTGCTCAGTTCTGCTGCACGGCAGCATTTGGGGGTGGGGGCGTCCAGAGAAAGGACAGAAAGGAAACAGAAGGCTAACTGGAAATTAAAGGCACAGGGACAGATGATGAACTCCCAGTCACCCAGGTGACAATCTCGTTCCTCCACGACAGGTCCTTGACCAGACTGATGTGGTTCCCAAGTCAGAGAGGGGGTGAGCAGGATGATGAGTGAGCACAGGTGACCTGCACTCGAAGCCCACTCCCGCGACTTATCAGCATGGAGATCCGGGGTACAGAACTTGACTTCCTGCGTTGGTGTGACGCTGTGCCCTGCGAGGGCCGGTGGAGGCGAGTCGTGTGGAGGGTCTGTGCACTGGCTGATAAATATCTGGGCAAAGTTAGAATTCCTGCTCCCTGAGTCAGACGTGGAAATGGGCATCACTATCGTCTAGTGCCATCTTACGGGTGTCGCCTCATCAGCGCCCTACAGCCCAGAGAGTTCCGGCCATCAGGGTCCTAACGAGCTCTGTCCATCTGATGGGCCAGTCTGCAGGCTAAATGGAGGGCAGCAGAGGTGGGCAAAGGCAGAGAAAAGTGAAAGAAGACAGGAAAAGCCAACAGGCGAGGACAAGAATTACAAACGCAGAGCAAGCTGGGGAACATCTCAGGGCCTGGACACAGGACCCGACCCCTCTGGGGAGACCAGACATTAAGAAACAAGTCATGAGAGCTTTGAGTCATTCCAAGAAAGGTAAATATCTGTTCAACACAATCAGTTTAAGAATATACAAGAAAAAAAGGCTGTACATCCAAAACGATGTCACCATTACCAACAGAAAACAGTTCCAGGTGCAAGTCACGGGGCGGGGGGGGGTCTGAAAACCAAGGTCTTTTTAACCCCTCAGCAAGGTATTGTCTTGGTAGAAGGAAAGCAAAGGGAATGGGGGAAAAAGAAGAAAGTGGGTGGGGACTTAGGTTTGTCCTTCCATTTAAAAAAAAAAAAATCTTCCATGTGACAATCTTTGCTGTGGCCCAGGCGGCTCAGTCCACCAGGCTCTTCCTGAGAGCACCCAGTGTGTAGCGGCCCCTGCCCAGCAGCATGTACTCCAGCCACTTGCAGTGCTCCCGGAGCTGCTTCTCACGAGGCAGCAGGAAGGTGAGGACCTTGTTGCGCACGATGCCCCGGTCCTCCTCCTCCCTCAGCCGCTGCTTCACGCGGGCCGCCTGCTCCCCTTGCTGCGCCAGGATGCTATTCATCTCGCAGAAGGAATCTTCCAGGTAGTGGATGGCCTTCAGCGCCTCCTTCTTAAAGTCCTCCAGCTCCAGCTGCATCCCGATCACCTTCTGCTGCAGGATCTCCAAGTCAGCCGGCAGTGGGAGGCAGGAGGGCCATGACTGGGAGAGGGAGAGGTCTCCGGACTGGAGGCCGCTCTCTACCATCTTCTTCCCTTGTAAGGTATTCACCTTCATGAGGATGGACCCAGCCTGATAGAGTGGATCCATTGCCTTGCTTCCCCGATGGACAGAGAGGGAGCCCAGAGACCAGCCAGATCAGGGAGTTATTTCGCCTAGAGGCACAATCATTTGGAGTGCAGAGATCCTATGCACTGTGACATCAAGACCCCTTTGGCCAACCAGGAGGAAAGCCACAATCTGCTCATTTGCATATGGCTACTTCCCTTGTTTGGTAACCTGGAGTGACCGTCTACTTATCTTCCCAAATTAACCCTCCTGAGATGTGGATGCTCCTCTGTTCGTTCATCATCCTTCTAGAATCAGAGCTTAAACTTTTCTTTAACCCCAGGGACAAGCCAAGTTACAGAGCAGGGGAGAAAAACTGGCAAGACATGGCAGGGCAAGCCAGGCTCACTGGCTGCCAAGACCCGATGGTCTCTGTCCCTGGATGGTCTTGGCATCGTAGCTGGTCTTCAGTGGCTGACCAGTAAAACAAGGACATTGTCAGGCAGGATGCCTAGTTCTACATGGAGCATTAAAATGCTATAAGAGTGATATGATTCCAAATCCATATGCCTATGCCAGAATTCTAGATTTTCTTTGAGTTGTGAGAAATATACTTAATTATTTTGGTGGGGGAAATTGAACACAGGGGCACTTATCAACTGAGCCACAACCCCACCCCACTCCACCCTTTTGTTGTTGTTGTATTTTATTTAGAGATAGGGTCTCATTAAGTAGCTGAGGCTGCCTTTGAACTTTGAGCTGCTGGGATTACAAGCATGTGCCGCTGTGCCTAGCAAATGTATTTAATTTTGATGTACGGTCCTGAACAGCAGCCGAATCAGTATTTGCAGGGTGAAAATGAGTCACATTTATTCAGTATATACTTCCTGAGTGTTCACTGTGTACTGGGACCAGGGAACAAATGTAAACAAGAGTGCATAGTTACTCACCATACCCAAATGTCGACACATATAAGAAAATATATATATATGTAGAAAGGTGGACCTTGCACTTTTTATACTTTCGGAAAATGCTTCTAACATCATCTACATTGGGCTTAGCCAAGAACCAAACTCCATGTTTTAGATTGCAAACTCTGCCTAGACCTCTCTCCTGGGCTCCAAATTTAACATCTTCCCAACAGCAAGCTTCAAATCCAGTCCATCCAAAACTGAATCGATTCCCTCTTCACCCAGACTGGTTCCTGTTCTGGTGTTGCTATCTGATTAATGACATCAGCCTAGGGCAACACCCACTCTGGTACCCACCTGAGAAACCAGTGCCCCAGTTCAAATACCTGCTCCCTCCCAAATTCGTGCTGAAATCCTAATTGCTTTTGTGACCGTAGGAAGAGGTGAGAGACTTTAAGAGGCAGAGCCCTCTTAAAGTTGCTCTCAGGAATGGGCTCTTTATAAAAGGGTGAGTCTGGTCCCCCCCCACACTTTCTTTCTCTTTCTCTCTCTTTGTGCTTCTCCCATGGGAAGGCCCTCACCTGATGCCAACACCTTCATCTTGGATTTTCCAGCTACTAAAACTGTAAGGAAATAAATTTCTTCATGCATTGCTTAGCCTCAAGTATTTTATTTTGCTTTAGCAGAACACAGCAGAGTAAGCCGACTGGGATCAACCTAGATGCTTCTACGTCCAAGTGGCTCTAAGTTCTTTTCAATCTATCATCCCTGAGCACTCCACCATCAAAGTACCTGCTCGGAGTCCCAGGTCCATCACCTATAAGCTAGGTCTCTTTGGCAGGTTACTTTGTATCCTTGAGCCTCAGTTTCATTATCTGTAATGTAGGGATACTAATTTAGTGGTGTGCTGCTCTCGGGGAGAAAAATAAAAAGTTAAGCTCTGATTTATAGCTATTTCCAATTTCCATGGGATAAATACTCCTAGTTCAGCCAGTTTCAAGCTACCAACATGATGTTCCTGGGAAGAGAGGCTTAGAATCAGCCTGCCTGAGCCTGTACAAGCACCACAGGACCCATGACGAGGGGGCTGCTGCCTTCTCTCTGAGATGCAGACTGACCATCTAGGGCGACTCATGCAGGCACCAAAGAGGGCATTTTGCAGGGAAGTTCATGGCTAAACTAAGGTGGAATTGTGATTCACAAGATGGAAAAAAGCAACTCTAACTATTGAAACAAACAAACAAAAAATATTTAGTGGAAAGAGCACTCACTGGTCTAGGAATCAGGAGATCTGGAATCCAATTGCTGTGTGATCCCAGGTCCATCACCTCCTATTTCTGAGCCTATTCCCTCACTGTAATGTGGGGAGGTGGGAGATGGCTCCTCTGAGGGCTACCATGTTCAAAGAACCCACACGGTGTGTTTGCTGCCTTCTCCCTCTTTTTTGTTCCTTGGGACTTGTTAGGCACAGTGACAATGGAGGCCATGTGCATCTCACTCTGTGCACCCTCCAGTGTTCCGCCTGGTGTCTACCAATAGTGGCACTCAGATAACTAGATGAAATCAAATTTCTGGAGGTGGCTTCCAAATTGCAGGCACCCTTAGCTTTTCTGCTGACATGATGACACCTACTGGTCTTAGCAGAAATAGCAACTTCCCAATTCTGCCTAAGAGCCAGTTGGGGATTTGGTAGATGATGTAAACAGCCTGTGTTTTGGGGAATGTGTTTAATTTGGGGGTGGGGGGTGGGTGGCAGGGCATGTCAGGCACATAATAGATTCTCAATAAATATTTCCTGAATTAGTGAAAGGCAGGCTGTGTCTCTGGCTTCCAATTTCTATTACTCTGTTTTTTCGGTTTCTGCCTCTCATTCTCTCACCCAGTCTCCCCCCAACTCTGTCTTTCTAGCTCTTTGCCTCTGTCTCCCACAGGGAAAGATGGAACTTACAATCAAAACTGTGAAAGAAAAGTAGCTACCGTCAAAATGGAATAGCAACGTCTCAATTTCCCTGGTGCCTTTTAGTGAGGTTCTTACGTGCTTCTGTGAGCCAGGGGGAAGGACAGTATAGTCCCCGCCTTACCTGGAGTTTTGATTTCTGTGATTTCAGTTAAGTATGGTCAACTGAGGTTTGAAAATATTAAATGGAAAATTCCAGATGTAAGCAATTAATATGCTTTAACTTGTGTGCCATTCTGTGTAATGTGATAAAAATCTTGTGCCTTTCCACTCTGTTGGACTGAGGATGTGAAGCACCCCTTTTTACAGCATATCCACGCTGTATATGCTACCCACCCGTTAATGACTTAGTAGCCATCTCAGTTATCAGATCGACTGTTGTGATATGTGGTGCTTACGTTCAAGTAGCCTTTATTTTATTCAGTGGTGGCCCTAAAGCACAAGAGTAGTGATGTTGGCTGTGTGGATATGCCAAAAAAAAAAAATGTTAAGATGTTAAGTGCTTCTTTTATGTGAAAAAGCAAAACTTCTTGCTTTAATGAGGAAAGAAGGGAAATCATGCTCTTAGGTCAATAAGATATTATTGTTAACCTATAAATTTTGGGAAAAAAACATATTATACATAGGGTTCAGTACTACTCATGGTTTCAGGCACCCACTGGGGTCTTAGATGTTTCCCCTGTGGATAGAGGGGGCACTACTGTATTTCCACATAGGCCACTGCAAAGACCCAGAGCAGGTGAGCAATGTCACCAGAGGCCCCTGGTGTGGTGGCCTCCTGAGTCTTCTGGGCAATGACCACAGCTGGGCAGCTCAGTGTGCACATTCTGAATGTTCTCTACCTGGGGTTTCATGGTCAGGATCTGTGCCTTCCTCACAAAATTGCCTCCCCTGCATCCCAGCCAGGAAGAAAGCTGACCCGTTTGTTCTCTCTCAGGTATTGGGAGAAAGGCCTCCAGACATCTCTGTGCTTCGAACCCCACTGTGAGGACGGCCCCTGCCTCTGGTCTACTTCAGCAGGGCCCAGCCTTCCTGTGTCTCAGGATGACAGGGTTCATGAGGGACATGCCGTACCAGCAGAGATCCCGGTTCCACCCCCCAAGAGTCAGATTCAACCCTAATGGGATTCGACAGGCTTTAAGAGGTCATGAGTTGGACCCGGTACCTGCTGGACCCAGCCCACCACCCAAGAATGGGACCCCACCCACCCCACCCCCGGGTGTTTGCACCTTTGCAAATGAAGTAAACCGTGATCCTTTTTAGGATCGGCAGGGACATGACATATGTGCTCCTCCAACGTGTACCTTTGTAAAAAGGAGAAAATGCTCAGAAGCTGGAAGAGCCCCAGGTCCCATTCGTGGGAATGGCATTTCTGGCCCTTCAGACCCATGCCTGGCAAGGGGGCAGAAGTGCCCAGAGTTGGCTCAAAGGACCACAGTTCCCTTCCTGGGGCCAGGGCTGAGGCTGGTGCAGAACCAAATGGCAGTGGGCAGTAAGGGGTGGGGGGTGCGGTATTCAAACAAGAAACGGAGGGGATGGTCCCCTGCCCCTGCAGCTGCCCCAGAGTCTGCAGTGGAAACATCTGTAGAGGGGAACATACCCCAGGCCCAGCCCTAGGCCTCGCCCAGCCTTGGGGTACCCCCTCTCTTGCCTGGGCTGCCCCCTCTTACCTGTGCCCTCAACTCAAAACCAATTCATTTGTTTTTTTCCAAAATAAAGCCTCAGCTGGCCCTGCCAACTGGAAGGAAAAGAAAAGAAAGGGGGAGGGTGGGCAACCAACCATGTCTCCCACAAAGAATCGGTGTGCTTTAAAAGACGGTTCAGTGAAAGGACCTTACTCAATCCCTGCAGACGACTTCTCGTGCCAGCTTTCAGGCAGAGTCGGGGAACAGGCTTCTAGGGGTCCCTTAAAATTGATCTCTCTCTCCCCCATTTCCAAGAGAAAAAAAAAAAGATTAAAAAAGAATGGCCAGAATTCAGAACAATCTGTCACACAACCCCGGAAGCATGTGATTGAACGTTTCTAACGCAGAGGGAAGAGCTTCCAGGCTGAGTCAGCCACTCTTCCCAGAGTCCCCTGGTCCTGAGCTTCCCGTGGTGGGCAAGCATACCCCTAGCCAACCAGCACCCTCCCAGGTGTGGCATAAAGGGTTTCCATCCAGCCTTCCACCCATGCAGCCCCCTAGCCAGCCGGCCAGGGCCTCCATCCGCCTGTCCATCCATTCACCCATTCAATTACTCAGGGACAGCCATGGAGTCGCCACCCTAGGCCCTCTG